GATTGCAGGGTATGCCTCTCCCTGCCTTTGTGCCGCTAAATTGCAATGTTTTAGGTGAATGAAGTTTTTTTTTTATTTTTTTTCTCTGCTCGTGACGATGTGTATAGTTTTTTGTGTGTTAGTGTTATTTTTTTTTTTTTTTTTGCATTATATCATAAAGATTGTTGTTTATTAGTGTATATTCTTATTATAACGAAAGCCTAGTATTCTTAATCATTATTTTTTTTTCATTTTATCACAAAGCTAGGAGTATTAATTCATTTTTTTTTTTTTTTATCTTATCGAAAGCCTTGATATTATTATGGATATTTTTTTTCATAATATCACAAACCTATTAGTATTAGTCTATATTTTTTATTACATGAAAAACCTAATGTTGTTAATCATTATCTTCTCCTTATATCACAAGCCTAGAATTTATAATGATGAGAGACGTTGGCCAGTTGTAATTTCTTCCAGTGTAAGTAGAGATGTATATGTAAAACAATGTGGCTCCATGTCTATTTTTGTAGTAAAATTGACAAAGTACAGTGTGTGTTTTATTGTATTATTATATCCCAACTAATTCTCTCTCTCTCTCTCTCCCTCTCCTTTCTCTCTCTCTCTCTCTCTCTCTCTCTCTCTCTCTCTCTCTTTCTCTCCCTCCCTTCTCCTTTCTCTCTCTCTCTCTCTCTCTCTCTCTCTCTCTCTCTCTCTCTCTCTCTCTCTCTCTCTCTCTTCTCTCTCTCTCTCCCTCTCCCTCTCCCTCTCCCTCTCCCTCTCCCTCTCCCTCCCCTTGCCTCCTCCTCCCTCTCCCTCTCTCTGCCTCCCTCCCTCTCTCTCTCTCTCTCTATCTCTCTCGCTCCTCTCTCTCTCTCTTCCTCCCTCCTCCTCGCTCTCTGTCTGTCTCTCTCTCTCTCTCTCTCTCTCTCTCTCTCTCTCTCTCTCTCTCTCTCTCTCTCTCTCTCTCTCTCCTCTCCTCCCACCTCTCCTCTCTCTCTCTCTCTCTCTCTCTCTCTCTCCTCTCTCTCTCTCTCTCTCTCTCTCTCTCTCTCTCTCTCTCTCTCTCCTCTCTCGCCTCTCTCCCTCCCCTCCCTCTCTCTCTCTCTCTCTCCTCTCTCTCTCTCTCTCTCTCTCTCTCTCTCTCTAAAAGTAAAAAAAAAGTAAAAGGATACTTTGACAAAAATGGCCTCAAGAACCCCAAAATAATCTTCAACTAGGTTCTAGTCGCCAAAGCGAACACAAACCCGAACACATTTTAAGAAGGACCGCACCGAGCACAAACCTTGGCATGACATTCGAGAACCACGTCGATAACATCCACAGGAAAGTAATGAGCACACTAATTTATTAAAGTCATCAAAAATAGAATCCCTGCTGAAACGAATATCTGTCATACTATAACACTAGTTCTCAGTAAAATTAACTCTGCTCAAATATATGGGGTATAACTGACAAAGGTCAAATTCAGAAAATTCAAAAATGACAAAACTTTGCCGCCTGGGTAGCACCTGGGAGCGTAAAGAAGTATGACCACATTACCCCACACATAAACAAACTAAGTTGGCTAAAAATACATCACAAATGCAACTATGATACTTGTATACTGATTCACAAAATGATCCAAGGTTTTTTTTTTTAATCAAAAATGGCTTTTAACCCTTCCAACTGCAGCTAACACAACCTGTGTCCAAGCAAGAAAAGGTAACTCCCTATATGTTAAAAGATCACGTACAGACATTGGGGCACGACAGACACTAACACGTGGACCCATGATATGGAACCAACTGCCTTATGATATCAGAAACATTCAAAACCCAAATACATTCAAAAGGAAATTAAAGGAACATCTATTAAATCACCAGTGACATCAGGTTTCTAGATATAAGAATAGACAAGATTTATATGTACCACCATTGATTCTATGTTTAACTTGTATTATTTGTAATGTAACATCACTCTCTCTCTCTCTCTCTCTCTTACTCTCCCTCTTTGTCACACACAAATCCCCGACCGCTGTTACGAACCCGATTTCACGCCCGGAAAACCTCCACAAGAACCTCTCAACCTCTCTCTCCCCTCTTTCTCCCTCTCTCCTCTCCCCTTCCTTCTCTCTCTCCCTGGGCGGTCGGATATCCAAAGAATCTACGTCTAAGTCACTCGATGCCGCTGACCAGGACCTTGGTGCAGCTAGCGGGGATCGAGGACGTCCACGCGGGCAAGGTCTATATAAGTACAGGTCTCGTCACTTCGGAGTTCTGCGCACCTTTGGGTGATAAGGCCTATGACGTCACCTGGAAGGAGCTGAGAGCAAGGGGGCGGGGGAATTAGAGCATGGTAGGCAGGACATAGATAATAGAAAAATGGTAGTAAATGAGCAGATACTTGAGTAATTTCAGATGTCGGCACGTTGAACGATTTGCATATTGGACATGTTTTGCAGGCGATGATTATCAGCGATTGTTTGTAGGCCTATATCATATATTCTACGTGAATTTAGTTTTGTAATTCATATGTTGCAACTTAGACATGGCATAATAAAGACGTAAAATAAATAAAAAAAACATGGCATATGTAAACTCCAAATGTTTTTGATGAATTTATTATAAAACGAATCATACAACAATAACAATAATAATGATAATAATATAATAACAATAATAATAATAATGGCAATACATAAACATACACATAAATGTACATATATAAGCTGCAACCAACCACTGGCATTGTGACTGCGCGCGCCAGTCAGTCAAGCGAGCGAAAACGGAGAGAGGGAGAGATCCTTACGGCTCCACCTCACATCAAAGAATGACCAGCGATTAGCGTGGAACCTCCAGGCTCTTCTCCAGATGACGTCATGCGCGAGACGGACGAATTTGAGTCCCTTAGTGACGAGACCTGTACTTATATAGACCTTGCACGCGGGCGCTGTGCTTCGACGGCGTCAACGGCGGCCTGGAAGCTGCCGGTGTCCTGGCTAGGGACGAAGGGGACAGACACGCACACACAGATATATACTGTATATAATATATATATATATATATATATATATATATATATAGATAGATAGATAGATAGATATAGATAGATAGATTGATAGTAGATAGATAGATATAGATAAATAAATAAATAAATAGGTAAATAGATAAATAGATAGGTAATTAAATAAATTAATATTATAATATACATACACACACATATATATATATATATATATATATATATATATATATATATATATATATATATATATACATACATAGATATAGATACGACATATATATATATAGTTAGATAAATATATATATTGCCTTTATCGTGCGTTTCTTATTCTCTCAACACACACAACACACACACACACACACACACACACGCACACGCACGCACACGCACACACACTGTGTGTGTGTGTTTGAGGGATACAGGTTAGAAGAATGATATTTATCGTAAATTATATAGTTACCCATAAACATTTTCTCAAATCAGAGAAAAAGTTTAACGGGTAACTAAATTAACTTAGTGTGTGTAAATCTATTCTCCATAACCAAAATAATATCATTATTATTGTCGTCATCGTTATCATTATGATCAATATCATCATCATCATCATTATCTTTATCATTATTTGTAGGAGCTGGAGGTGATGAGAGCAAACGCAGGTATGCGTGTATAAGTTTATTTAGAGAAATAACAGGAGCTACGGACACCTATCTCGAATGGCGGCTGGCGGGTAACTACCTCTGGTGCGACTTCATGTCACCAACCAGAGGTAGCATTCGAGTGTGCTGGTAAACACTCTTACACTTCCCCCCTAATTACACAGGCAGTCATTTAAGCTTGTGTAATGAACATATACGGCGGTGAGAGTAAACAGAGGCAATAAAAATTGAACAAAATGCTCGTGTTTTACACGTACAAAAAATAAGAGTACAAAAAGGATTTAATAACAGTCATTTAAGCTTGTGTAATGAACATATATGGCGGTGAGAGTAAACAGAGGCAATATAAAATTGAACAAAATATCCATGTGTTTTACACATACAAAAGAAATAGATTCCTGAGTAGTTCCTCATTCCGTGACATTATAAACTATATAATCATTCAAATGTTGCGGGGCACGTCTGACGCGTCTCGGTCTTGCAGCGGTGGAAGGGGGTACTGGATTACTGCTTCCTCCGTCTTGTGATTGGGCCTGGGTTTCACTCATGAGAGGACGGAGGTGCCGTCTGTTTCTTATTGTGGCTCTTCCACTGCCATCAAGCCTTACCAAATACTGTCGAGGTGCTGTCAGCTCTACAATGGTGCCCAACCGGTCCCAACGCCTGCTGCTGGGGTTCTGGATACGGGCGCGTTTTCCTGGTTCAATGGGCGTGAGGTCATGGGCTGACACGTTGTGTCTTAATGAGGCATTTTTTCCCAATTGTTGCAAGGCTCGTTCACGGCTCCTCAGTAACCGAGACCACTGCTCGCTGACCCTATAATTCGAGCTGTCTACTGGGATGGCATCTCTTAACTGACGCCCAGTCAGCAGCTGGGCTGGAGAAGCATTAGAGTTCTGTAGAGGGGTGTTGAGGTATTGCATGAGGGCTTTAGCGGCGGCATCAGTGTCCAGAGATCCATTCATCGAAGTGTTGCCCGTAATATCCTCTTAACGGATTTGACAGCCACTTCTGCACGTCGTTGGACTGGGGATAGTGAGCCGACGAAATTCTTAGCCACACACACCATGCATCGAAAAAACTCCTTGATTCTTGGCTGATAAGATTTGTACCCCCATCACATGACAGCTCCTCTGGGATTCCAAATCGCCTGAACCACCTCCTGAAGACAACTATGAGACGTGCACTTGTGGTGTCCCCTGGTAGATGTTCCACTTCCAACCAACCTGTCAATCTGTCGGCGTAGGCAATGTAGTTCTGGCCGTTGAGCTGGAACAGGTCTGCTACGACCTGCTGAAATGGGTACTGGGGGATGGTGTTGGCATGAGCGTTTCTGCTGGGTTGGAAGGGGCACATGTCTCACATACCTGGCACTGGCGCCGCTTCTGTTCCCTTCAGCATCAATGCCAGGCCAGTAGACTGACTGGCGTGCTCTGCGGAGCATAGAGTCTCTACCCTGATGACCTGCGTGGAGATTAGTGAGCACAGTACGTCTGAGGGCCATGGGGATAACCAGACGTGGTTGTTTCTCATCATTGGTGTACAAGATAAGATTTCCTTGGCATGACAAGTGACGACGCATCCTGAAATATGGCCGTAGAGCAAGCGGCTCCATGTCCTTGCGGTCAGTCCAGCCCTCGTTGGACACACATTCATGTAGCAACCGGTATTCTTCATCCTTGGCTGCTTCTCTTCGACCTGTTGGATGTCCACAACACGCCCTCCATCACCTTCAACTGCTTCTGATGCAGCTGCTACTATGGTTGCACACACCAGTTCATCATCGGCTTCATCGGACTCCTCTGGGTGGCCCAACAGCATTGGGTACCGAGACAATGCATCTGCTGCACAGTTCGTCTTGCCTTTCAGGTATTTGATACGGAAGGAGTACATGAGCGTCCTCTCTTTAAGGTTCAAAATACGAGGGTTGTTGATGTCCTTTAGTTCCTTATCACCAAAAATTCTGGTGAGAGCTTTGTGGTCGGTGATGAATGTGAGGTTCCTACAGCCCAGTAGAAAGAGGCGCGCCTTCTTGAGGCACCATGCGATAGCAAGGGCTTCCCCTTCGAGGGTACTGTAGTTTTTTTCTGCAGCCGTTAGGTGCCTGCTACCACACAACACTAGTTTCCACCCGCCTGTGCAGCACAGCGGTGACTCCTGAGATATACACAGTACTGTTGCATGACAAGAAATCCAATACCCTGGCGACTGTAGTCAGTGAATGCGGCCGTTGGACGTGAGACGTCATAGTAGCGTAACCCTGCAGCAGCCAGCTGTCCAATGGTATCCTTTGCCGATGAAAATATGGCTTGCAGCTGTTCGTCCCAGTACACCGACTTCGCTACTGGCTTCTTTAGGAGCTCTCTAAAGGGCTCCATGATGGGGCCACTGCCAGGAATGGTGCCACTTGGTTGACCAAACCAAACCATGCACGGACATCGGTTAAAGTGGGCCGGGTAGGCATTGTGAACTCCATAATGCTCCTGACGAGGTCCTTGCTGGGTTGGTATTCTTCCCAATCAAGAACGTACCCAGCGAATGTAACGCTTCTTTTGCAGAAGTGAAATTTGTCTGGTCTCAGGGTTACACCATTCTCCATGCACTTTAGCAGGAAGTCATATGTGTGCCAGAATGCCTCAGCAATACTCCCGTCGTACAACAGCGTATCATCAACACACTTCATCTTTCTGGGCACAGTGCTGATTATGTCATCGAGGCGTTTAGTAAATGCATCCTGTGCAGCACAATGTCCCATGGGAGTTCTACAGTATCTGAATCGACCCCATGGGGTGATGAATGTTGTTAATTTGCGGCTCTCCTTGTCAAGTGGTATTTGATGGTAGAGTATGCGTCAGCTACAGTCTTGAAGGTATGCTTTGGCACACTAGTGATGAGGTCAAAGGGGGGCCTTGTGTGGTGTGTTTCTCTCATGCTCGCCCGATTGAGCCGCTGGAAATCGACTGTCCTACAGGGTCTTCCGTCCTTCTTGGGTACAACCACCATTCGTGAACACCATTCAGTTGGTTCACCAGCAGGTACTGCTTCAATGATTCCCTTTTTGATATCATCATCTAACTGTTGTCGCACTTCATCGTAGAAGTGGTGTGGCACTGTAGCTGGGACATGGACTGCATGTGGGCGTGCGTCTGGACGCAGGTGGATGTGATGTGGCGGACCTTGCATTTCTGGGAGGGGTGCACGTCCCACAGCAAATACCGTGCGCCCAAAGTGTTCTAGGAACCATTTCTCTAGACGGTCCACATTCTCTTCTACCAGCTCGTAAGGTGGCTCCTCTGGACGTGTTGGGACCTGTGGGATGTCTAGGGGTGCTACCGAACAGATGGATACTGAGTGGCATGGGAACTCAGGCGGTACTAGACATAACGACTTGCATGCTCCGAGAGACAGGTAGAGACGCTCGACCCCGTTTGCAAAGAAAATGCGTTCATTCGTAGTAACAGGACCCACCACAAGCTGGCAGATCAAGCTTCCAAGGAGACGCACGCCACCCCAGCAACATGATTGACTGCTACAGGTGCTGGTTGTAGTTGGTGCTGCAGGATGCCAAGATTGTTCAATAATGTGCGCCCTGCCATGGACACCTGGGCGCCAGTGTCTGCCACAGCCATGGTCGAGCACCTGGCGCGAAGGTTACCACAGACAACTATAACAGGCAAGGATGCCAATGTGTCCACACTCCCTACTGTCACTGCACTGGATGTGACAGCACTGCCTTTTGGGGTGAGGGTTGGGCACTGGCGCCAGAAGTGCCCCCTTAAGTCCACACGAGCGGCAAACAACCCCAAAGGCACGACATTGGCGGTCTCCTCGACAGTCACTGTCCCCGCATCCCCTGCAGCGTTTACGACCACGTCTGGCTCCAGTGTAACGTGAAGATTGCTGGTCGTTAGGTCGACGTGATGCGCCTGACGCTGCTACTTCAATATGTGTGGGGTCCGGGAGGGGGATGGTGACTTCATGACCGGGTCCTGCGTAGCCAACACACTTGCCACATTACCTACGGCACTCCGACCTGCTGCTTTTTCAGCAGACTCTATTACCTCACACGTACGAATTATGTCATTCACTGATTCAAGGCGGGGATGCACCTTAGCACTTCTGCCTTCATGCTACGGTCGCTTAGACCCATTACCACTTTCTTACCTAACATGTACTCATCTAAGGAGCATCGACACTTAGGGCACTGGAATTTACACTCACCTGCCATGGCTCGACATTTCGATACGTATGCACATATGGTGTCACTAGGAGCTTGCGAGTATGTGAAAAAATCGGACCATGCACCGACCACACACCGAGGCCCGATCACTACACTTCTTACAGTGTCGACTGCTGCTGTGGTTGATAGTAGCCGGAATTCCTGCCTGTTCACACGAGCGTCAATACGCTGCTGTACCTCGCCGCTGCACAGGAGTCTTACGTAGGAGGCGGCCAATGGCGGCATCCATCCGCAAATGTTGCCGTAGTCCTCCACACTAACGGCCCACGATTCAAAGGCTGACGGCGACATGCCAACGGTCGCTCCTCCTGGCCCTGACGGTGGGAGCGGTGGCCGTTGATTCTGAGCTACTGGCCAAGCCGTCCTTGCTGGGGTCGGGGTGAAGTCAGGGCTGGGCGAGAACTGCCTAGGGAATGCTATAGGAGGCACCAGTGATCTGGCCGGTGACTGCACATGGTCAGCTCTCCCATCTTTTGTTTCACTGGTTGCTTGCATAAATACCACGCCCTCGTTGCTAACGGGGCTCTCCGAAATATCCTCGGTACTCATCCTACTCACTGCGCCATGTAGGAGCTGGAGGTGATGAGAGCAAACGCAGGTATGCGTGTATAAGTTTATTTAGAGAAATAACAGGAGCTACGGACACCTATCTCGAATGGCGGCTGGCGGGTAACTATCTGGTGCGACTTCATGTCACCAACCAGAGGTAGCATTCGAGTGTGCTGGTAAACACTCATACATAAGACGAATGTAGTGCGTGCATATCCGTATTTCATCTAGGAAGGGAGGGCCATACATAGCTTCAAAATGCTCTAATGAACGCTATTCGTTAATTATTTTTGGTTACGTATTAAAGAAAAAAAAAAAAAAACTGAAAAAAGGAAGAAAGAAAAATATTTTTCTTTATGAAAAAATATAGGTCACTTTCACAGTATCATAACAACTGGCCCAGGTTTTCTCTGGAATTTAGATAAAGGATTGTTCACCAAAATTTCCCTTGAAAATTAAATTTTCATTATAAATTCTTCCTTTTGTAGCAAGAAAAATCAGGGCGACTGTAACTATTTATCAGTGAACATTTCATTATACAATTTATAATACAATAGCCCCCATGTCAGTGCTGCTGGGGTCTTCCCCTAGTAATGATTCCCATTTAGTATTCTTTATTTCTACTATGAAAATCTTCCCATTTGTAAAAATTCTAGAGCTTTGTCCATGCACAGCCATATTACATGAATATTATAGATTCTATGAAGGAATTATGCTACGGACATCAAAAAGAGTTTAGCAACGTACAGATGTTGAATTATGTCCATATAACTGAAAGGCTCAAGACTGTACAAATTTTGTTTTCGTATATTTATTGTATATAATATTGCTTAAGAAAGTAGAGTTTAATGTGACAACAGATTAAACGAAATTAGATAAAATTTAAATTATGTTTTATGACTAGGGTAATTCAAGCCACCCAACAGGCCTTATGGAACCAGGCTACATCACATTAAATGCTCATATTCAGAGACACCAAACACCTTCTCCAGGGGGATGGAGGACCTCCATCGATTGGTTCAGATTAGTTCTGATTGGCTGCAGCGCCAGGTAGCTCAACGGTGAATGGCTGATGGGTAAAAGAATATGCTTCGTAAGTGGTGTCCGAAGTGTCTCTTGATATGAGAGAAAACCCTAATAACAAAGTGGAGGCTTCTCTTGCGGTTTCTTAAAGATTTAGGATCGCAAAGTTCTATGGAATAAAAACAAATCTAATACGTAGTAGGTCTCGGCAGATCAGGTAGACTATCCTGAACCATAGCCCACCCCCACCTTCTGAGAATGGGTCCTTATGTCTGTTCCCTTTTGCATTGTGGTCTGGAGTTTTGAGTATACTAAAACATGTATATATTATCATCAACAATGAGTTGATGATACTAAATTCTTAAAGGACCACTAGAAGATGCAACCTCCTAAGTAGACGCACCCTGAAGTAGAGAACGGTGGTTGAATATCCTACATAATGACTTATTTGTGGGTACAGGATTTTATTGGATCTATTCCAACCACTGGAAAAGATCCAAATCAAATGAATCATAGATCTCTGAATACTGTCCTGATTATCTGTCTA